ACACTACCACCGCAGTAAACACTACCACCCAGTACAACACTACCATCACCCAGTACCTTACTACCACCAGTACAAACACTACCCATCACCCAGTACCAACACTACCACCACCCAGTACAACACTACCACCACCCAGTAAAAACACTACCACCGCAGTACAACACTACCATCACCCAGTACCAACACTACCATCTTTTAATTTAACACTACCACCACCCAGTGCCACACTACCATCACCCAGGCAACACTACACCACCCAGTACCAACACTACCACCACCCAGTAAACACTACCACCGGTACAACACTACCATCACCCAGTACCAACACTACCCATCACCCAGTGCCACACTACCACCACCCGGTACCCACACTGCCACCACCCGGTACAACACTACCCGCCACCCAGTACAACACTACCTGCCAGTACCAGCACTACCTGCACCCAGTACAACACTACCACCGCAGTACAACACTACCACCACCCAGTGCAACACTACCACCACCCAGTACAACACTACCACCACCCGGTACAACACTGCCACCACCAATACAACACTACCACCACACTACCACCACCCAGTACCGCACTACCACCACCAATTTATTTTCACGCCCATTTAGCACTACCACCACCCCGGTAAAACACCTACCGCCAGGTACAGCACTACATGCCCGGCGCCGCTACCTGCCCAGTAAAAACACTGCTATCGCATTGAAACACTACTATCACCACAACACTACCACCACCCAGTAAAACACTACTATCACCCAGTAAAACACTACTATCACCCAGTAAAACACTACTATCACCCAGTACAACACTACCACCACCCAGTACAACACTACCACCACCCAGTACAACACTACCACCACCCAGTAAAACACTACCATCACCCAGTACAACACCACCTCTCAACACAACTGCCCACACCAACCCAGCACTTGTAGAGGTAACAATTGACGGGAGTGTTGTGTAGTGCTGGCGTTAATACCACCAGAACGCCAGCCACGGGTCCACCCTTAACTAGTGATATGGGTGGTGGACGAAATTCTTTAAAACTGGGGAAATTATTTTACATGAAGATTAGACACCCCAAGTTATTTTACATGAAGATTAGACACCCCAAGTTATTTTACCTGAAACAGTACCTTCCCTAACGCCAGCAAGGTGGGGAGATTTGCTTTAGACTAGCATAAGGTTTGGTTAGGTGAGAATAAATTAAATTAGCGTTAGGTTAGGTTAACGTTAGATGAAATAATGTGGTGTGTCTAATATTAGCTTGATCCCTTCTATTGTCCATATTAACTCTACTGTAATGTGAAGTTCGTAGTGTACATACGTAGAGAAACTTGGTAGTGTGGAAGATATGTTAATAAGGTACAGGTATACTGAATCACGTGAAGGTATAACATCCCAGCTTATTTCACCTGATGACTAAACACGTAACCTAACCTACAGTGACTAAACGCTAACCAAACCAACGCCAACCTAACTTAACTTAACCTAGGATATTTAATCAGTTGAAATAAATTGGGGTGTCTAATCTTCACGTGATCATATTATTTGTAGTTATCCTCTCGGTCGTGTACAGTCAGCAGTTAAACTGTTTACATTAACTGGTAGACAGTTTAAGTTTACTGGTATACTTTACATTAACTCATACGGTTTGTTTTTAATGACTGGTAGACTGCTTTTTTGAAAGAATTGGTAAACTGTTTACAGTATATTAACAGGAAGACTTAAGATTACTGGTAGACCGTATTAACTGATAGAATGATTGTTTACATAAACTGTTAGACCACTTGTTTATAATAACTGGCAAAATGATCACTTTATTAGGCAATCACTGGTTGACTGTTGATATTAACTGTTTATGTTAACTGGTAGACTATGTTAACTGACTGTTTATATTAACTAATAGTGCTTGTTTATATTAACTGGTAGACTGTAAACATTAACTGGTAGATGTAATGAAGGTAAATTAATAGTTACAAGTATAGTAAGAATGTATAACTGTAGGATAAGGTGAGGAGAGTTTGGTAGTGTGGTCGGCTAGTTACTTAACCCTTAATATAGCCGTAGGGGGATTCTCTAAACGCCAATTCCAAGTACAGCTATTTATTGGTTAACTCAATGGCATGGACACATAAATAGATAATTTTATCGAAGCTACTAGACACTGGCTCTCGGACACAAACATGAGAACATAAGAACATAAGGAGTCTGCAATAGGCCGGTTGGCCTGTGCATGGCAGCTCCTGTCGAGAGCTACTACCACTCTCTATCATCCATGAATCTATCTAGCCTCCTTTTAAAACTTTCCAGAGTTCCCGCACTTACTACAAAGTTGCTAAGCTTGTTCCACTCGTCCACCACCCTATTTGTGAACCAGTTTCTTCCTATCTCCCTCCTAATAGGAAATTGATACACTCCCCACCTCAAGTAACTCACCCTATGGATCGCTCTGACAATGACTCACGTGACCTGAGGGAGGCCCAGCGGCTGGGGGTTGTTTGCAGGTGCGGCTGGACTCTGTCTCCTGTGGGAGAGACTGCTAGCTCGGGAGGGAAGTCTCCTTCCCGGCCTCGACTAGTCACTCCTGTCTTCTGAGTCCTGTCTCTCCCTGTCTGTCTCTGGGAAGGAACTGTTATAATAATAATGCCTCCTGGAAGGAGCTGAAGGTCCCTTATATTGGCGGTGACAAGCCGGCAGATGACCTCTCTTACTGGGTATATCTGGACTGCTGTGTTTGCCCGGGTGCTTCTTGAGAAACACGGTCATGATCGCATGGCGGTGAGAACTCTGGATCAGGTCTTAATCTCACCTTAATTACTGTAGGGAGTGTCAGCTTAGGAGGGTGTACATGTCGGCATCTACTTAATGTTATATGTGCTGTACTTCTCTGGGCTGTAAGCTGATAAACAATCATTACATAGACTGTTTATATACATTAACTGGTAGACTGCATGTATACATTAACTGGTAGACTGCTTGTATACATTAAGTGGTAGACTGTTTGTATACATTAACTGGTAGACTGTTTGTATGTTTAGAGCAATATTTCGTATGGTAGGACAGGGTGGGTGGTGCACATGTATGGTAGGACAGGGTGGGTGGTGCACATGTAGGGTATGGTGCATGTGTGGGTGGTGCATGTATGGTAGGACAGGGTGGGTGGTGCACATGTATGGTAGGACAGGGTGTAGTGGTGCACATGTGGTGTAGGACAGGGTGGGTGTGGTGCTACATGTATGGTGGGACATGGGTGGTGTACATGTATGGTAGGACAGGGTGGTGGTGCACATGTGTAGGTAGTGACAGGGGTGGGTGGTGCACATGTATGGTAGGACAGGGTGGAGTGGGTGTGCATGTATGGTGGGACAGGGGGGTGGTGCACATGTAGGACAGGGTGGGTGGTGCAATGTATGGTAGGACAGGGTGTGTACATGTATAGTAGGGACACGGGGTGGGTGTACATGTATGGTAGGACAGTGGGTGCAGCACGTATGTATGGTGTAGGACAGGGTGGGTGGTGCACATGTATGGTAGGACAGGGTGGGTGGTGCACATGTATGGTAGGACAGGGTGGGTGGTGCACATGTATGGTAGGACAGGGTGGGTGGTGCACATGTATGGTAGGACAGGGTGGGTGGTGCACATGTATGGTAGGACAGGGTGGGTGGTGCACATGTAGGTAGGACAGGGTGGGTGGTGCACATGTAGGGTAGGACAGGGTGGGTGGTGCACATGTATGGTAGGACATGGTGGGTGGTGCATGTATGGTAGGACAGGGTGTGGGTGGTGGTAGGACAGGGTGATGGTGCACATGTATGGTGGTGCACATGGTGGGTGGTGCACATGTATGGTAGACAGGGGGTGCACAGTATGGTAGGACATGTGGGTGGTGCACATGGTATGGTAGGACAGGGTGGTGGTGCACATGTATGGTAGGACAGGGTGGGTGGTGCACATGGGGTAGGACAGGGTGGTGCATGGCATGTAGGTGGGACTGGGTGAGGGTAGTATAGGACTGGCTTGATGAGGGTTTGATATATTACTGACTGGCTTGATAGAGGTTTCTGATATATTGATGGGACTGACTTGATGAGGGTTTCCGATATATTAAGGGACTGGTTTGATGAGGGTTTCCGATATATTAATGGACTGGCTTGATGAGGGTTTCCGATATATTAATGGACTGACTTGATGAGGGTTTCCGATATATTAATGGACTGACTTGATGAGGGTTTCCGATGATGTTTTTATATGCTTGAGTGGCTGAGATAGTCAGTGTTTGATGAACGTCTGAGTAACTGGGAATATTTCTATATCTGTTAAGCGTCATCACCACCATCACCATCACCATCTTCACCATCACCGCCATCATCATCAGAGGATCTGTAGCTAGAGGTTGGTTGAGTGACTGGTGACATCTTCTTGTCACTATAAGGGCAACACAATCAGCAGTGAGGGACATAGCTTGGCAGTGTGTGCTATGAATCTGTTGAATTATGGCTGGTCTCTTGTGCATGTGGGTAGTGTAAGTGTCTGGTCTCAGAATAAGGTGCCATATAACTGGTGTGAGTCATGACTGGTGTGGAAGGTAACTAGGGTGTCAGTAGTGAGGAGATGACTGTAGTGTATCTGAAGGACTTACATCTGGGATCTTTACTTCTACTGTTGGCTCGGGAAATTGATATTGAACTATTTTTATACATAGTAAATTATGTGTTATGGATAATCTTACATGACTTAGTGAAACGGAGGAGTGATATTAATGGTAACTGCGTGCGTATGGTGGACGGGGTGAGGCCTGGTGTCTGTAGTGGCGCTGAGGACCCGTTGTGTGAACCTAAGTTTGATCTACTCAGTGCTGGACTGTTATTGGAAAACTTGCAAGTGATGTTTCAGTTGATGTGTATGATCATTATATTTCTGAATAAACTGTGACAAGTTAATAAAAACAACTTAAAATGTGTTTTCTAATTTATGTTAAAGTGAAGGTATCCAGCTGTAAATTACCGACAAGAGTGACTGCTGGGGTGGAAGTGTTGTGTTATATTCAGTGTGGTTGTGTAGCGGTGCCGCCTGCGTTATAGTCATCATGGACAACGAGAGTATGAGCGGCAGCACTTCCATACCCCCGGACACTGTCAACCTGAGCACCAACACGGGCGTGGGTGGTGGGGTGAGGGAGATGGGCAGTGTGGGCATGAGCGGATCAACTCGACGCACCTCGCGAGTGTGGCGATACTTCGGTATGGTGGACAATTGTCACTATATCTGTCGCTTGTGTTCCTTCGTGGGCGCCTACACCAACACCACCAACATGAGGAAACACATCCAGCACCACCACCCAGAGCGGTTCCAAGATATTCTGGATCACACTCGACCAAGTACTCGACCATTCTATGTAGGTTCCATTCCCCGCATGCGGCCACCACAGCACTTCACGCAGCAGCAGACCTCCCCTTACCCTGGCGGTCTAGTCTACCCTCACACACTCCCTGGTAAGAGGATGATCTTACCCAAACCCACAGAGATGTCTTATGTCCATGGCGACACAAGTATGCCGTCGATCATCACCTCGCAACAGTGTTCACACATGACCTCCCAGCCTTCACTATCTGAGTCCTCAGCCGGGACTTCATACCCCACCATGACGTCTCACATCCCTGTAACGTCTCACGCCGCTTCATCAGGCCAACTCAACACAGTAACTGTGTGTGAACTAAGTCCTGAGGAAACCAAACTGGTGAGTCAGTTTCTTCCGACTCTCAGTGAAGCCACCGACTGCTCCAGCGATTCGGAAACAACTTCAAGAGGTGAGGGAGTTTGGTACTGCAGCCAGTACTCACCACTGTTCTTTAAAATCTAACAAGTTGCTTACTTATTAAGATATGAAGAGCATGCGATACTACAGTGCATGTGGAGTATAAATGATGATATACAAGCAATAGTTTTGTGGGTGTGGAGGTAGACCGCGTTCCAACCACACTGTACCCCCACCACACTGTACCCCCACCACACTGTACCCCCCCACCACACTGTACCCCCACCACACTGTACCCCACCACACTGTACCCCCACCACTGTGCTGTACCCCACCACACTGTACCCCACCACACTGTACCCCCACCACACTGCACACCCACTGCACCCCCACCACACTGTACCCCACCACACTGTACCCCCACCACACTGTACCCCCACCACTGTACCCTCACCACACTGTACCCTCACCACACTGTACCCCTGCCACCACACTGCACCCCACACTGCACCCCCACCACACTGCACCCCTCACCACACTCCCCCACACTGTACCCCCACCACACTCTACCCCCCCACACTGTACCCCCACCACACTGTACCCACCACACTGCACACACTGTACCCCACCACACTGTACCCCCACCACACTGTACCCCCACACTGTACCCCCACTGCACCCCACACTGTACCCCACACTGTACCCCACCACACTCACACTGCACCCCACCACACTGTACCCCCACCACACTGCACCCCACACCACCCCACCACACTGTACCCCACCACACTGTACCCCCACCACACTGCACCCCACCACACTGTACCCCCACCACACTGTACCCCCACACTGTACCCCACACTGTACCCCCCACCACACTGTACCCCACCACTGTACCCCACCACACTGTACCCCCACACTGTACCCCACCACACTGTACCCCCACACTGTACCCCTCACCACACTGTACCCCCCCCACCACACAGGTCTGCTGTATGTTGATGAATCACAACATTTATATGGCTCACTTGTTGTAATTCTTCAATCTTTTTAGTCAACGTTGTTACTGTTTCTTAAATAATTTTCTGTATGTTACGTTACATCTGCAGTAACAACAAACTGTGGTAATGTGTGTCAGTAATTTCCTCCCACCTCATTATTAATTCGTAGGTCACAAAACTATTTTAGAGTTAAGCGAGAGACTCAACGGGACGCTTCCTTATTACAAACTGTGACCTTAATGTATGTTTTAGCGTCATCGAGTTTAGTGCGGACTTGTACACACAGATAGGTGGTGAGGGGCCAATCAACTCCCTCGGCGTGAGTATTAATATATATATTTATTCTCCTGTCGCGGAATCCATGATTTTATGTATATAAAAATATGTGTTCAGCAATTTGAGGTAAAGTTGCATCGTCAAACTTCCTCCACGTACGAGTATGTGTGTATGACGTGGACTTGGGGAATCAACCCTGAACTAGACGATAACCCTAAACACGGTTACTCTGTGAGCAACACTCTTGTAAACAGGTAAGGGAGGACGTCCTGATGGGCCAACTCCTGAAAGCAGCGGTGAATAAAGTCAATCAAACTGAAGGAACCATAACTCATAATTTGGAATATACAGATAAGAAAATGCTCCACCAACTTAATACGTCCCTACCTGGACCACTAAGTACAGGATGGAGACCACACCTCCAGAAAGACAACCTCCCCAGAAAAGGTGCAACACAGCGACTAACATTATTCATGAACTTTATCGTCTCCATTATCCTAATAGACGAAGGCCTTATATATGGGGCTGGCAGTTGTCTTGACTCTAGACAGAACACGATAGGGACGGACATTCAAAATCTTGAAAGGGATGGAACACACAAACCCAGATAATTTTTTTTCTCGACATGTCACGCTCTTCCAACACGACAGAACACTATTTGAAGCTCGTCAAGGCGCCATCATTCATTTTTCACACAAAGATTTGCAGATCTATAGAACAGTCTAGCAGCTCAAGCCGTGGAAGGGAGAATTATGCTCGACTTCAAAATAACCCTTGGCAAGATTATTAAAACAATGAAGAGGGGGGATCCAACACAGGCACTGGCCACCTTTCCCCGTCTTGGCCACCTCTAGTTGGGATGGTCGTCAGGTCTTGCTTGGCCTATCTTTGTTATCTTCACTTTGGTCACAACTTAGGGCAGGGTATTGTATTCTTACACCAAACATGGCAAGTTTGATCAACTTTTGGTGTAAGTCTCTCCACAATTGACTAAGTGTTGCCAGGGTAACGATTCACCTAATAATACATGTACTGTTTAGGTTTTTTCAGGAATAATAAAAAAAAACTGACCTGAGAGTTTTCTGCAGTGACTAGAATCATTTACAGTAAGAACGTCATTATTTCGTTATTTATCCAGACACGGTACAGTTGGCAGCAGTGTTTACAGCCGCTCGGGTGATGTTTTAACTAAAGTAACGTTTAGGCCGAATAGATTAAAATAATCTTTCAACCCCTAACTTATTAATATGTTGGCGACCAATTCATTGTTTTCCCCAAACATTCCTGGCCTGTTTGTACGTCACTTACACTACATACACTGTACATAAGTTATGAAACTTTATCTACGTCACATCTAGATCAGTGGTTCTTCACCTTCTTTGAGTCACGGACGGACCCCTTTGGGAATCTGGTGAAAGCTATGGACCCCCTCCCTAGAAAAATGCACATAAACACAACTTTGCATGCAATGGAACAGTGTAATTAGCGACAAAGGAATTATTAAACATAATTCCTTTTATGTTAAATCTCTTTTGTTAATTACATATCATTTCCTCTCCGTTTGTCTGAATGAATGAATTCTTACCAATGTTTAAAAAAAAACTAATGTACAGTACTGGCGTCCCAACTCCTTGGTCTTATATAGGGTTATGTATCTCTTTGGTGGCCGTATTGGGAACTAGTTTCGTTCATTTCGAGATCTTCATTTCCGAACAATATCAAGATAATGGTTTATCCGGTCGGCAGCAGCTAAGTGTACCAACTCGTTCAGTCCCTTGATAGCCGAATTGGACGTTAGTACAGTCAGGGACAGGGCTGACAAGGAAGGTATAAAAGCTTTAATTGTTGGTGACTCACAGGTAAGGTACATGGACAGAGCCTTTTGTGGTAAAAACAAAAATAGGATGAGGGTGTGTTTGCCAGGAGCTGGGGTGAGGGATATAATTGACAGGGTGGACAATATCTTGTCTGGTAATGGGAACAAACCCCTTATCTGCCTCAGTGCAGGAGGCAATGATATTGGTCGGTGTAGGAGCGAGAAGCTTCTTGATAAGTTCAAGACAGCTATAGATCGTATTAGGTCTAAGGGAGGGATCCCTATCATATGCGGTGTCCTGCCTAGAAGGAGAGTTGGCAGTGAATGGTTGTCAAGGGCGGTTGGTGTCAACGATCGTCTTGACAGATATTGCAAGTCAATATCAGTCCCATTCATTGACAACTGGGATAACTTCTACGGCAGAAGGGACCTTTATGCTAGTGATGGGGTGAACCTGTCTAGGGATGGAGTAGCAACCCTGGCTGGGGCTCTAGAGGGGGCAGTTCAAAAGATATCGAAGTCTTTAAACTGCTAGGAGAACATATGAGCACGGGGGTGGAGGAGAATGCAGTGGGAGTGGGTAAACAAAGTGAAAGATTACAGGGAAATAGTGTTAGGAATGATGACAAAACTAAATTAGACAGGGAGTTTAATTAAAACTAAACGCAGTAAAGGGAGGACTCAGAACACGACTAACTTAAATGTATACTACGCGAACAGTAGAAGTATGAGAAACAAAATGGATGATATTAGGGCCTTGGTATGTACCGAAAAAATCGATATAATAGCATTCACTGAAACATGGATTAACCTAGACTCACGTGAGTTACCGGTCGAATACCAAATTGCGGGTTACAAATTGTTCCATACCGATAGGCAGATCAGGAAAGGAGGTGGAGCAGCAATCTATGTTAGGGATAATCTGAAGTGTGAAATAAATAAGGAAATAAAAACTGAGCGGAATACAGAAACAATTTGGATAGAATTAATCGACGGTAGGGAAAATAAATCATAGGAGTAATATATAGACCTCCCAATCTTGATAGAGTCAATGAGCGACTTATCTGGGATGAAATGCGCAGGGCTTCCATACACAACAAAGTCTGTATAGTAGGCGACTTAAACCTTGGCCAAATAGATTGGACTGACCTTACGGGTAACTCAGAATCAGAGGATTTTCTCGAGACGATCCAGGACTGTTTCCTAAGTCAACATATAACCGAACCCACCCGGGGTAATAATATACTCGATTTAGTTCTGTCGAACAGAGAAAACCTCATCAGCAATGTCGAGGTAGGGAACGAACTTGCAAACAGAGATCACAAAGAAATTAGATTCCAGTTAGATTTTCAGGGCGGACGTAAGGAAAATTCCACTGAAGTACCAGATTTCAGAAGGGCAAACTTTGACAGTTTAAAGAGGCAGCTGAGAGAGGGGGTGTCGCGCTTGGCCGTGAACCTGACAGATGACACCGACCTGATAACGAGATCTGAGATTGCCGAGTTCCTCGACAATTGAAATAATGAGTTACTTAATGCACAAAGGCAGAACATACCATACAAAAAACTCAGATCAGACAACAATGACCCTAAATTTTTCAACAGTTTTCACCACCGAAAATTTAAACAGGATACTCGGGGCACCGACTCTATTCAGAGATAGTGAAGAAAACAAATTAAGCGAGATAGTAGTGACTAGTAACGATGTTAGTAAGCAAATTGACAAACTAAAGCCTAATAAGTCACCTGGTCCCAATGAGATATTTGCCAGAGTATTAAAGGAATGTAAGGAAGAGCTTAGTATCCCCTTAGCAAAGTTGTTTAACATGTCCTTAAAAACAGGTGTTGTACCAGAATCCTGGAGGATAGCGAATGTAATACCGATTTTCAAGAAGGGGGATAGATCACTACCCTCTAACTACCGCCCAATCAGTCTAACATCAATAGTACGCAAATTACT